TTTTGAGCTGAACTTAAAACTTTAAGTCCTGAACTTGGATTTTTTTCTGTACATATTTTTTTCAAAGATAAAATCCAGCATGTACAAAGATAACTAGGCATATGAGGAGACAAGATGCTATGAATGAGAACAAACAAAAACAACAGACAATAAAATTAGGAACTCCAGATACTGGAATTATGAGTCCATATTTTAAACAACTAGGCTTACATATTTAAAGAGTTTAAAAAAAGACTGGGCTTGGAACTGGGCTTCAGAAGGGATCTAGAGATAATCAAAAGAGACATCTCAACTTTGAAAAAGAATCAGTGGAAATTCTAGAGCTACAAAGTACAATAACCAAAATTAAGGGCTCCAGGGATTAGTTTAAGAGCAGATTAAACACAGCTAAGGAGAAGCACAGTGGATCAGAAAAACTATCCAAAATGAATCATGGAGAATTAATAAAGAAATACACAAGGCTGGGCATGGTGGCTTACACCTGTAATCCCAGTACTTTGGGAGGCCAAGGCAGGTGGATCATGAGGTCAAGAGATGGAGACCATCTTGGCCAACATGGTTAAACCCCATCTCTAGTAAAAATACAAAGCTGGGCATAGTGGCATGTGCCTGTAGTCCCAGCTACTCAGGAGGCTGAGGCAGGAGACTTGAACCCAGGAGGCAGAGGTTGCAGTGAGCTGAGATTGCACCATTGCACTCCAGCCTGGGCAACAAGAGCAAAACTCCATTTAAAAAAAAGAATCAGAAGGAGAAGATAAAGGGAATGGAGCAGAGGCAATATACATGTGTAGCTGTACTTGATTATTATCTGACATTTATGGGGAAAATAAATACTGACAACACACTAGTCATCATGCTTCCATGGGGGAAAATTGCTAAAATTAAAACATGCTATAAATGAGAGGATGTTGACCTGGGCTGTGTCATGGATTTTGACTGGTTTACTTTAAAGATTAGTCACCCCTCTGTATCCATGGGTAATTGGTTCTAAGACCTTCCATAGATAACAAATCTGCAGATCCTGAAGTCCCTGATGTAGAATGGAGTAGTATTTGCATGTAACCCATGCACATCCTCCCATATATATATATATTTATATATATATATATATATATATATATATAGAGAGAGAGAGAGAGAGAGAGAGAGAGACAGAGAGAGAGAGAGAGAGAGAGAGAGACAGAGTCTCTGTTGCCCAGGCTCAAGTGCAATGATGGCTATTTCAGCTCACTGCAGCCTCAGACTTCCAGGCTCAAGCAATCCTCTCACCTCAGCCTCCTGAGTAGCTGTCACCACAGGCACACACCACCACACCTGGCTAATTTTGTGTATCTTTTGTAGAGATGGGGTTTCACTATGTTGCCCAAGCGTGTCTCCAACTCCCGAGCTCAAGTGATCCACCCATCTCAGCTTCCCAAAGTGCTGGGATTATAGGTGGGAGCCACTGGGCCTGGCCTCCTCCCATATTCTTTAATCATCTCTAGATTATTTGTAATACCTAGTGCAATGTGAATGCTATGTAAATAATTGTTATAATGTATTGCTTTTTAATTTGTATTGGTTTGTATGTTGTTGTTTTTTTTCCTAAATATTTTTGAGCAGCAGTTGGTTGAATCTGCAGAGGTGGAACCTATAGATAGGGAGAGCCAATTGAATTGTTTTTCTTGTTTATCTTTCCTATTTATTATTCTCTTTTTTATTTTTCACTTTTTCTTTTACCTTATCTTTTTAGAAATGTGCTTACCCATGAATTTATTAAAAACAAAAAGTTGTTGTTTTAAATTAGTCCTATTCTTATTGGATCTGATTTTTTTGGGGGGAAAAACTTCCTTCTTTGATTAATGCATTTCATTCTTCTTTCTCATATTTTTAAAGAAAAAAGTAGTATTTCTAGGTCTTCATGGCCTAAATTGGGAGAGATCTCTTTGGCAACCAATAACCTCTCCTTGTTTTAAACGACTATTTCTTTTATTGCGGTAAAATATTATATAACATAAAATTGACCATTTTAGCTAATTTTAAGTGTACAGGTCAGTGGCATTAAGTACATTCATATTGTTGTACAATGATCAACACTACCTCCAGAACTTTTTCCTCATCCTAAACTGTATGAATTAAACAACAATTCCACATTCCCCCAATGACTATTGTCTTGAAAGGAAATAGATAACTATATTAAGCTTTGTTTCCTTTATGTGAATGATCATATAATTGTTTAAGGAATATGGGGTGAAGGAATAGTTGCTAATATAATGGCAAATACAGAACCTACTCACAAAGGTATATAATTTGTAAAATAGCTGAGTGGGCAAAATTCTGATTTTCAGTTGCCCTAGGCACTTCAGTGCACTTCTGATAATGATTTTCCTTGGGCATGTAGTTATTCTGATAGAAATCACATTCATGCATAAAGAGTGAGCTTAATTATATGTAACTACATACCTAATATGAGGTTTTCCATTTTTTTTTTTACATATACTTTCTGGTTTACAAAAGATAAGACACTAAATCCTAACTTAGCTCAAAAAAAGTCGTGTACCCTCAGAGCATGAGAGTCTTAATGTATGAGTTTTCCTTTTTACAAAAAGACACTATATTTTTCCCTCCCCTCTCTCCCTTTCGGGGACTGTTTTCGCTATTTGGTGATTCCACAGTCTCATCTGGTGCCTGCTGTGACTCCCAAGATAGACAAGTGCACAAAGGCTGATGTAGGGTCATGGATTCCTCTTAAGAATGACATGCTCAATTCATTTGCACTGAGCCCAATCATTTAATCTCAAAATAATAAAAATAAAAGTAGCCAAGATGGTTTGAATACTAATGTTTGCCCCAGGCACTGTGCTAAATGCTTTGCATGTATTATTTTGTTTAACCCTCACAATTCTGTCAGATATGAATCAAATCCCCATTTTACAAATGGGAAAACTAAGGAACAGGAAGATGATGTGACTTGCCAGTGGCACCCAGTTGATAAGTAGCAACTGAGAAGTGAGATCCAGGCCTTCCAGAGCCCTCACTCCCAGCTTCTCTATTAACACGTGCTCCTGGTCTGTATTGGGCCCAACAGCAGGGTTCTCTTGGAAGAGAGGCAGGTTTAAACCAACCCCACCCCACTCCCAGGAAAAACCCACAGCACACTGGAACCCTCCATGGCTGAGGTGAGTGGCTTGTCTCAGCTAAGGCTAGCAGGGGGTCTGGAGGTAGAGGCTCTCCAGCCAGGGAAGGAAAATGGGAAGAGCGGAGGTCGCCTCCTCCTGGCCACCATTTGTTATCTGGTTGGTGAGAAGAGATAGGAGGAAGGAGCACTGTAAGGACATTTCCAAAGGACTTGGGTCATTCTTGGTGCTCTTTGTCTCTGGTTTTGTGCCCATCGCCTAGGTCCCATAATTGCTGCATCCTTCCTAAAACTCCTCTCTATTGAGGGAACCTCTTCTCTAGAACCTTTCTGGATTTACTCATACCTTCCACTTGCACCTCCCCAGACCTCCATGCAAATTCCTGAGCATAACTGATGTCAGCTGGTTGGTAGGACAGTGATAAGCTTAAGTGAATGGACAAAGGTGAGAATGACTCTCCTGCTCCTCACAGTTTCCTAATTCTCCCAGGAACACAGCCATGTCAACATTTCTGAAAGAAGTTTCATGCAAAGGACTTCCCAAATGAAACAGACATTTCTGGACAGGGAGGAGTATTGATGGATTCTGCCAGAAACTGAGGAGGCTCAGCCACCTCTGTCCTAGAGGTCTGTCAGGGTGACCCAGGAGCTTCCAGAGGGACCTGAGAGCAGTTCCTGGGCCACTCAGTCTCTGCCTTCTCCTAATGCCAGCAGGGCCAGAAACACTCTCCCAACATTTGCTCATGGTTTGCTGCTCACAGAGTACACCCATCCACAGGCAGCTTAAAATGGGCAGAGGGCCAGGCGCGGTAGCTCATGCCTGTAATCCCAGCACTTTGGGAGGCCAAGGCGGGTGGATCACGAGGTCAAGAGATCGAGACCATCCTGGTCAACATGGTGAAATCCCGTCTATACTAAAAATACAAAAAATCAGCTGGGCATGGTGGCGCATGCCTGTAATCCCAGCTACTCAGGAGGCTGAGGCAGGAGAATTGCCTGAACCCAGGACGCGGAAGTTGCAGTGAGCCGAGATTGTGCCATTGCACTCCAGCCTGGGTAACAAGAGTGAAACTCCGTCTCAAAAAAAATAAAAATAAAAAAAAAAAATAAAATTGGCAGAGGGAACATTTCCTGGGAGTGTTCCTAACCCCAAAGAATATGTTTGCAGATCGTGTTCCTAATGTTCAGGAGTTAAGTTCATGTTTCAGAAACAAGTACTTTACATCTGTAGGTGGCACTTTTATGAATAATTTTGTGGACCTTGAGTCCCGTACTGTCCTCATATGAAAAGGCAGTGTACTGCCTCCATTTATTCTGGAGGTGCCATTTGCTCCTGCTCATTTAAGCCCTTGGGTATTTCCTACAGAGGTTAGCAATGTTGCACTTGAATAATTGTACCTTAAATTAAACTAAAAATAATTTCTGATGATTTTCATACTGAGTCACATTCTTTATGTCAAAATGGTGGCATAATCTTCAGCATGCCATTATCAAATAGCTCCATTGACCAATAGTGGCAGTTTGCAGTTGAGTCACAGGAAGGATTTATTAGGACATGTTTAAAGCGATGTCATAGAAATAAAAATATGGACAGGTACCTAAAGACTACCAGCGGAGGCTGTGGCCAGAGATATTCTTTAACTCCCCACCACACTCTCGTCTTCTCTCTTGCCCCTTTTTTACATCACTATTAAGGCAACACAGCGTATGTTGTCTGTGTTCTTAGCCTACTCTGAAAACGCTGCCCCATTTGGTCAGGTTACTCAAAGCTACCACCTAGATCACACTATGACAAAAAGAGGTGTTTTCACACTAAACCAATCCAAAGGCAACCAGAATTGGTTTATTTTTTAATTTTCTTTTCTTTATTTCATTTAAATCATAGCCACTTGGAGCCAGTGACTATTTGGAACTATCAAAGAATTTTGATACAATATTTTTACGAAACATTCCACAATTTACTCTGGCAAACAGGACTCAAGGTCGAAGATTCATAACTCTCATCGATAACTTTTATGATCTCAAGGTAAGGATGTAGTACATTTTCTTAAAACTAGCCACTTTGCATTGTGGAGCCAGATTGCCTGGGCTGAAATCCTGACAATGTATTTTTATCACTTACTTCACTTCTTTGTGCCTCTATCTCTTCATGTGTGAATTGGGAATGATAATATTATTTACTTCTGAGGGTTGTTGTGAGCACTAAAAAGGCAAATCCATGTAAGGCATTTAAAACATTTGGCATAAGCTGAATGCTGTATAAGCACTGTCTGTAAAGCAGCAGTAATACTATAGTAAAACTCTCACCACCAGACAAACCAAATGATTGCATCATTCTACCAGACAGCTTGTGTGCTTCATCTATCACATTCTAAAACACTATGTCTTGCCTAGACTGAATGCTTAAGAAATATTTGTTGCTTGAATAAATGGTTGTATTGATAGAATAATGAATGAGCAGGCCATGTGTGATGGCTCACACCTATCATCCCAGCACTTTGGGATACCAAGGGAGGATTGCTTGAGGTCAGGAGTTCGAGACCAGCCTGGACAAATACAAGATCCTAGGTCTACATAAAATAAGAAAATTAGCTGTGTGTCGTGGTATGGGTCTGTCATCCTGCCTACTTAGGAGGCTGAGGTAGGAGGATTGCTTAAGCCCAGGAGTTCCAGGTTACAGTGGTGAGTCATGATCATGCCACTGCACTTAGGCCTCCAGCCTGGGTGACAGAGTGAGGCTTTCTCTCAGAAAAAAGAAGAAGAATGAAAGAACAAATAAATGAATGACTAGAAGACCCTTCTGAATATTGAAGCTCTCTCTCTCCCTGTGACCCAGAAACCCCAGTAACTAGCATTGCACCATCCTGTTTGTTTGTTTTTAATCCATATGTTTTAGCGTGAATTGACAAGCCATTGACCATTCATCAAAGGAAGCATAGCCTTGTGGTTCAAGAGCGGGCCCTGGGGCCAGGCTGTCTATCCTAAAGGCCATCTTAATCTCTCTGTGCTTCAACTGCCTTCGCTAGAAAAAGGAAATAATAATGGTACTTATAAAGTTGTTGTGAGCATTAAAAAAGCATGTAAAGCACAAAGAATGTTGTCTGGCTTATAGTAAGCTCTCAATAAAGATGAGCTATTGATAGAATGTATCCGTAAATATAGATTCATAGCAAAAGTACAATTGGAAATTAGAATTAATTTCAATATTATTTTACCATTAGATGTAGTTTTTTTCTCCCTATTCTTTGCACAGAATTAGGTAGAGCAGTGATTCTAAATTGAAGGGACTTTGTGGGAAGGAGATAAGCAACAGAATCGCTGGGAAGGAGAGGTGAGAATTTAGTGTATTTCCTCATTCATTCTATAAGCCTTATCATGCCAAGCACTAGAAATTCAATGGCAAGTGAAGCTAGATGGTGTCTGCCTTCATAGAGCTTAGATAGCCTAATATCAGAGAAACGTGGATTAGACCTCCACAGAACTGAGTGTAAAATCACCACTGTGGGATGACCTCTTAGAGAAGGAGGCATATGGTGCTGTGAGAGTCCAGCAGGGGAGAGCGCACCCCTGGTCAATGGGGTTGGAGATCTTCTGAGGGCCACCTGTGGCAGAACCATCTTGGCTACTTCAAAATCCAGATTCCAGAGCTCACCCATCCCCACCCCAGCAAATGAATATCAGGCATGGGGCCAGGAACCTGCATGTTCTCGTGTTTTCCAGGTGCTTCTTATAAATACTAAGAGGAGCGAGGGCTGAACTCTATGCACAGAATGAAAAGGGGTAACCAGCATGGGGAGTTTGCAGCAAAGGCCTTGGGATGAGTGTGAAAGGCAGCAAGTGTTGCTCTGACGCAGAAGCTGAGGGAAGCCCACCTAAGGGAGTGTGATCAAAAGTTGCTGGGCATCCCCACGGAATCCACACACATGATCATGTGGAGAGGCAGGAGGCTGAGGACACAGAGCTAGGGGATGGAGGCCCATCAGCTGTGAGTGGTTGCCTTCCACAGACTCCACTCTGCAGTAATGGTGGGGAGGGCAGGGGCAGAAAGAAGGACAGGGGCCTGGAGGCTGCTGTTTTTGTAGGACTAGGCTTCAAAAATGAAAAAGTGGAGGAGCATGAGTAGGATGGCTCTTACAGTGGAGGATTGAGAGACTCATTATTTTTATATTTCAGCTAGGAATGCCTGAGAGAAAGCTTATGGCCCCCATCCCTCAGTCCCACCCTGCAATCCTGCCACACCCCCACCTTTTCACTTCTTAATTAAAGGAGAAAAGGATTTATCTGGCAATATGGTGGAATACTAACATTCCCTGTAAGTAAATCACACATTTAGAGATTACACTCTTTATTGAAGTGTAGTCAAAACCATTTTATTTCAGAAATTGGGAGCATTAAGCAGACATTATTCTAGAACGTATTCATGGAGATTGGTGAAATAAGGATATTCCCATGTAAATAATGAAAAAATGTCTTTGATGATTAAAATAACTTAATAGGAGGTAGAAGGCCATTTGGATATAGAAAATCTAGTCTCAAATGTCAACATAGATTTTTAAGTATTACTGTATTATTATTTAAATAATGATTTTAAAAGATAGCTATGAATCCTGAAGACAAATTCAGGACTTTTTAAACATCAAGAAGAATATGTTTTGTATTTAAACTAGTGGATATAAAAGATATAAAAACTGTTTCCAATATATGATCACATATGAACACTCACTCAAATACTTAAGCAACCAAGAGATATTAATGTAAAGCTTAGTCCTTTTGAGGAATGTCCTAGCAGGATGCTGATATGAATGTAGATCCTGGACATTCACTGGCCTAATTAGAATAGCAATGCACTGAATTAGAGTCTGCTGTGCAGCGAAAGGGTAACTAACCTCTTTACAGTGTCTCTGGGGAGCATCTTAGGTGCACAGACCAGCTCCACACAGTTGGGTATAAATGTCAGCATCAGAATGTAATTGTCTTAGCCAGTACGTGGTTTTATAACAAAATACCACAGATTGGGTAATTTATACATAATAGGAATTTATTTCTCACAGTTCTGGAAGGTCTGAGATCAAGGCGCCAGCAGCTTTGGCTGTTTGGTGAGGGCTACTCTCTGCTTCAAGATGCCTTGTTGCTGCATCCCCCAGAGGGCACAAGCGCTGTGTTCTCGCATGGTGGAAGGAATGCAAGGCAAAAAGTGGTGAACTCACTCTATCAAATCCTTTATAAGGGCACCAAATCCCATGCATGAGGGCAGAGCCTCATGACTCAGTCATATCCTAGAGGCCACACCTCTTAATCCTGTTACATTGTGGAGTAAGTTTCGGCATGAATTTTGGATGGGACAAAAACATTCCAACCAGGGCAGTAATGGAAAAAGCATTGGACTAAGAACTGAAAATCTAGGCTGATGTCTTGAGCTGTCTGCTCTCTAACCCTGAAGTCTCCCCGTAAACCTTTGTGCCATGCTTCACGGTGGTATGAGTTGTGTGGAAATATTCTGAAAAGTACTATGCAGTTTTAAAACACCACTTTAAAGAGATAAACAATTAGGAAAAAAATATGGACATCCTAAAAGCAAAGAGCCAAGCTCCTGTATGTGAAAAACAGATTATTTTTGTGTGAGGGATTTTTCTTACCTTCAACTTGTGAAATGTAAAGAGTAACACATTACTCATTTTCTTCTATTTCAGGTGCGTATAATTTGCTCTGCATCGACTCCTATATCAAGCTTATTTTTGCATCAACATCATGACAGTGAGTTGGAGCAAAGCAGAATACTGATGGATGATTTGGGGCTGAGCCAGGTAGGCAATATTAACATAATCTCTTTTTATTATAAAACAGCTTAATTGTTTTTGGTTTGATGCATGGATACATTTTGAAAAAGAAATGTAGTGTATAGTTAACCATTGATTTGCTGCTGCTTCTATAAGCCCATGTCGCAAATGTATCATTCTCAATATCACTAAATATAGAAAGTTATAAACTTACAGTGGAAGGAACCTTAGTGGTCATGTAGTCCAATGCTCCATTTTGCATGTGATAAAAATGGAGCCCAGGCTCAGCACAGTGGCTCACACCTGTAATCCCAGCACTTTGGGAGGCTGAGGCAGGTGGATCACGAGGTCAAGAGATTGAGACCATCCTGGCCAACATGGTGAAACCCCATCGCTACTAAAAATACAACAATCAACTGGGCGTGGTGACGTGTGCCCGTAGTCCTGGCTACTCGGGAGACTGAGGCAGGAGAATTGCTTGAACCTGGCAGGTGGAGGTTGTAGTGAGCCGAGATTGTGCCACTGCACTCCAGCCTGGGTGACAGAGGGAGACTCCATCTCAAAAAAAAAAAAAAAAAAAAAATGAAGCCCAGAGAGGTAGACTGAGGTGCCCACAGTCACACTGCTGAATAATGGCAGGCCAGAGCTGGATGCCAAGCCACTTGTGCCTGGTTCTGTCCTTGTTCTGCTATACCATGCTACCCTTTCTGGATTTCTTTCGAAATGATTACTGAATTTGTAGAGTTATTATATAAGACAGTATCTAAGCATGTGGGCTGGCTAGTACAGGACCATGGAGTGCCTAGCAAGGCCCCAGGCTTGAAAAGAAATCCATGATTAATCTCCCAACCTCCATTCTGCAAACATTTATGGAGTGCCTGTGGGTGCCAGGTTCTGGGGACACTCTGTAGGGAACAAACAGATGCTAGCCAGTTCTCCTGGAGTTTGGAGTCTGGTGATTCACCTCAGGCCAACCAGAAGTGACTTTCCATTTTCTTCTTCTGTAAGAACGTTACAGGATGTGTTTCTCAGCTATTGACAATTAAAATATTAGTCAAAAGTTCACAACTATCAACACTCACACTATGAGGGGAGCCCAATTCTTCCAGTTCCACAGGTAAAAGATCGTCTGGAACAAGGAAGTATTTACTTATCGACCTGACTAGAAATGAGGCATTTTCAGGAGTTTGGGAGAATTAAGCCAATTTAAAAAGTGAACTTTCCAATATGATGACTTAAACCTATGTTTATCTCCTAGTCTGCTATAACAAAACACCATGAACTGAGTGGCTTACAGACAACAGAAATGTATTTCTCACAGTTCTGGAGGCTGGGGAGTCTAAGATCAGGGTATCAGATTTGACATCTGGTGAAGGCCCACTTCCTACTTCATAAGCCTCTGTCCTTTCTGTATAAACCTCACATGGTGGAAGGGGTGAGGGATCTCTTTGGGTCATCTTTCATAAAGGCATTAATCCCATTCATGAGGGATCTACCCACAAGACCGATTGAACTCTCAAAGGCTCCACCTCCAATACCATCACCTTATGGGTTAGGATTTCAACATACAAATTTTGGATGGACACAAACATTCAGACCATAGCAGTGTAGAAATAAATAGCTACTTATAAACCGCGCTGGGATCATTTGAAATGTTGGTTCTCCAAGGGCAATATTTACATCCAAATATTGTCTTTGACAATTTGAAAGAATACACTTAAGCTACATCAATCCAGTTTCTAAAGTCCTTTACATCAGGGCCCCCCAGCCCCTGGCCACAGACTGGTACTGGTTTACAGCCTGTTAGAAACCAGGCCTAACAGCAGGAGGTGAGCAGTGGACAAGCAAGTTGAGGCGGGGAGATCACTTGGACCCAGGAGGCAGAAATTGCAGTAAGCCAAGATGGCACCACTGCACTCCAGCCTGGGTGACAGAGTGAGACCCTGTCTCAGATTCCCCTAGGATCAAGACAAAGTAAGCTCATGAAATGGAGCCAATAATATATGAAGAAATCAGGGAATGTGACCCCAGGGTCATGAAGGTTCACAGTGGATCAGTTGAGAAGATGGATTTAAGAATCTAGAATCTTTCTCTGAAAAAGCATACTAGCAAATCCCTAAGAAAAGAGAGAAAAATTCCAAGCCCACTTAGTGGTCACCAGTCTGTTTTGGTATCACCAGTCTGGGGTTACCAGCCTCACAGAGACAGGGCTTCTCGATTTGGTCCTAGATGATGGGATCAATTGTCCCAGCAGGTGAAAACTAAAAGCAGCCTTGGCTTTTAGATCCCAGGCACATTCTCCAGAACCCGGACCCACTGTTCATTCGCATTTGCCCTCCTTTAGTCACGAGTTGGTTTAGAAAAGGCTCTGCAGAGGTTTGTCCTTAGGACCTCCCCCTCAGGCACTGGGACCCTGTCTGGAGGCTGGCACCAGCCTCCTTCTAGCTTATCAGAACTACTGGGTTTTTGTTTTTGTTTTTGTTTTGCCATTACATATTTCTGGTGTATACTTTTGGAGAAAATTTTCCCTTTTACCTTTTCTTTCTGAAAATTTGGTGTGTTTACTGCCTATTAGTTTAAATTGGTTTTGACTCCCTAGCCTCATTTAAGGGATTGTATATGAAAAAAAGTTATAAAAAATGCTTTAATATAACCAGTAAGCCTAAAAAGTTTTTTTAAACCTATACTTAGGTTCTGTAAATTTTCATTTGTGATGGCTTTAATGTAATTTGTTTGTTTTATAACCAGGATTCAGCAGAAGGACTCTCCATGTTTACTGGAGAAGAGGAAATCTTTGCATTTCAGCGCACGATTTCCCGACTTACGGAAATGCAGACTGAACAGTACTGGAACGAAGGAGACAGAACCAAGAAGTAACTGTCACTTTCACATAAATAAAACTCCAGACAAATGGTTAGGACTTGAAGGAATCATTTTCTCATCATTAATTATGCACTTTGTCTTCTGGATCATTTTAATTTAAAGTTGCTGTCAAAGATCTAGTGGATTAGTAAGTTAAACACTTAACATTTTTTAGGTCTGCTTTTTCTTATTTGGCCTTATTTCTGCACCATGAAATTAAAATCATCATTCCTGAAGACGAATGTAGGACCAGACATTTTAGCTTCACGTTAAACCACCTGAATGAACCTTGAATACACAAGTAAATGCAAGGTGTCTAGATGCCTCCAAGCTTTGGCTGCATGGTGGTGGCACATTAGAAATACATCTTTTATAACAGGGGAAATGCCCTATATTTCAATTCAAAACAAAGACAGCTTTCCAATCTGATATAAACTAAAGGGCATAATATTTTAGTGTATGGGCTTATATGTGTTATTATTATTACTATTTTTTGGTTATGAATGATAATAAATCTCCCAGGCCTTCAGATTTCTACATAATGGAAAGAATATGATTTTAAACCTGAGATCAAGCTTAGTAGGCAGGACTTGATCTCAAGTGGTCACAGAGTTTTCTTTAAAAAATTGAGAATTCTGATAGGATCAAATAAGGAGCAAGTGTCAAATTCCAGCCAACAGGCAGATCTGCAGGCAGAGCCACCAACTCTGCAGCTAGGAATGGGGACCAGTGAGAGAGTGTGGGCAGGAAGCGGGGGGTGGGAGTCAGAGTCGTAGGCACTCTATCAGCAGAGGAGACTGCTGCTCACATGAGGCCTGCTGGACCCCAGTGGACAGCAGGCTCCTTCCCGCTGTTCATTGGCACTTGCTTTCCCTGCAGCATGCCCTGCCCTTGCTGCCGACTACCATGAGATGGACGTAATAGGAAATAGGAAAGAGCACTTGGCAAGCCTGCTTCACAGGAAATCTAAGTTGTCCTTCACTGAGCTCATTTCTTGCTTTGAGTAAAACCTGAAATTTACTAACTACTGTCAGAAAGTGGATCTTCGGCTGTGGATGAGTGTGGAAAAAACAAAAAAAAAATAGAAAATCACAGAGTCTTGTGAAAATTAAGCATTTGGGGGAAGGTAAGGCATAGGTGAGTCAGTTCAATGATTACAATAGTCAACATAAGTATGCTCTATGAATATTTTTATTTATTTATTTATTTATTATTATTACTTTTTATGTCTTGGCCACTCCAGCCATCTCCTGGCAGGTTTATTGTGGCATGGCATGGCCCTATTTAATCTCTTAGTCAATAATCCATCTCAGTAATCGATTTTAGACATTAACTTAATTAAGACAAGCAGATAGATGGATGAGTACCCAAGTCAAGAGAAGAGTTTAAATCAAGGCTTCTGTAAACTAAATGTGGTTTAAAGGTATTTTTATTGAAGTGAAACACAGTAATTCCAAAGAGGTAAAGTAATAGGGAGAAAGGATGGGAAATAACCACTTTGTGCCAGATTTAATGCTACATATTTACATTAGCTCAGTTAAAAAAATAGTCTTAGAAAGTGAATATTATCATCCCTGTTCAAAGATAAGAAAACTGAGCCTTGGAAAAGTTGAGTAGCTTGACCTGAGATTCACGGTTTACAACTACAAAACTCATGTACTGTGTTTTATACCACACTGTCTCTTACTCTTACTATTAATACAAAGAGAGAGATTGTTCCATTTATTTAACTCAGTGAATGAAGTTGAAGATAAATTTACAACAGAACCACTGATTTGAACTCAGTAAACATAAAATGTTTAACTTGATTTTTTGGATCTTAGCTTTTTACTTTTCACATTCCTTTAGTAATTTTTCTGTACTTTAATTTAAAAAAAAAAAATCATGTGAATGGATAGACAGACAGACAGACAGCATGACCAATAGACAGAACTGTCCCTGAGTGTGAGCGTATGTAGAAGAGTCCCTCTGTCAAGTTATAAAAGTTCATTTGAGGTCAGGTATTTGGAATAAAATTTCATTTTTCCATAGAAACAATCATGTAATGTTATCTAGGGTGCTGGTTCAATGCAGAGGAGCCTATGTAATTCTCAGTGTAGCTTCCCTATAATGTCATTTTGGTACAAAGGAACTTAAACCCTTAGAAAAACACTGTGAGAAAGCGTGCACCCAATTCTGTGGCCCCAACCCACAATCTCCTTCTCCAGCTCCAGGGGCCTGGTGGGATTGGCTGCAGTGGAAGAGGCTCTGAGCTGGGACAAGGGTTTATGCAGAAAGCGGGGCCAGAAGCCTTTGGCTGAATCTCTGGAGGGGAGGAAGGAGTTTCATGGTGGCTGGAAATCTACGAAGTTTGTTTCATAAAATAGCATGCAAGAAGAAAAAAAAAAGTCTTCAAGAATAGCCATCACCAGGAAACAATATGGTAGCTCCACTGAAAGAAAAGTAATGGCAACATGAAAAACAACCCCTAGATTGGAGAGCAACATTTCAGTTTGTGTGTCTTTCTTCCAAGCCCTGCCCCTATTAACATTCTCAGCATTCCAGTCTTTCTCCCTACAAGTCTCTCAGCAAATGCTCTTTTTTTGAAATGCTTTAAATGTATGCTTTGAGGTGGAGGTTTGAGCTGACTACTGCTGTGGAAAGCTCCCACTCAACTTGAAACACAGACGGGGAATGTCTTTAGACTCAGGAGAAAACACCATGTGCTGAGGGTGCTCTCCAAACTGATCACCAGTTCCCAGACTTAACAGGTCAAGCAGAAGAAAAGGAAAACTTTCCTTAGACAAGAGAAAGAAACATCTGATCACTTTTCTTATATTTCTTTAGGCAGTGTATGAGCCTATTTGCTAATATCACTAATCCAGAGATGAAAAACAGGATGGACTTAAGTAATTTTTAACCTATTTCCGAGGCCAAAAAGACGGTGGTATTATTATAATCAAATTTATGCATTTTCAATGGGACTTCAAATTGTAATCATAAGGCAATACTTTAATCTTCTTAAAGTATATTTCCTGTAGTTACAAGCGTGCAAATAACATAATTTTAAAATTAGTTGAAATATTGAAAAAAATTAAAGTTTCACTTGTAAAATAAGTGGATGTGCTCATATCCATTTATTTATTTAAGAAATACGTGGTGCTTTCTGCGTCCTGGGCATGCTTCTATGTGCCTTATAAACTAACTCTTTTGAGCCATGTAACAGTTTTATGCCATTATAAGGTCTTATGCCATTATAAGGTGCCATTATAATAATTTTATTTATTTATTTATTTATTTTTGAGACGGAGTTTCGCTCTTGTTACCCAGGCTGGAGTGCAATGGCGCGATCTCGGCTCACCACAACCTCCATCTCCTGGGTTCAGGCAATTCTCCTGCCTCAGCCTTCTGAGTAGCTGGGATTACAGGCACGCGCCACCATGCCCAGCTAATTTTTTTTTTTTTTGTATTTTTAGTAGAGACGGGGTTTCACCATGCTGACCAGGATGGTCTCGATCTCTTGACCTCGTGATCCACCCGCCTCGGCCTCCCAAAGTGCTGGGATTACAGGCTTGAGCCACCACGCCCGGCCCATTATAATCATTTTATAAACAGGGAAGCTGAGACCCAGGAAACATCTAAAACAGAATACTGAATTGCTTAAGATATACAGTGAAGTCAATAAAATTAGCAAAGCACTAATGTATTAAATTTTCCATTTCATTGCCTCTGTCCTGAAAACAGTATTGCTGGTCCATGTAACTTGAATCTACACTTGATGGCCGCTTTATCTGAGATTAAAAACATACAGAAGGATTGGGCACCTGGGTCCCTGACATTCGGATTCCTGATCAGTTATGGGAATCTATCTTGCAGCAAGTCTGTAAGTGAGCTTGTAAATTACCTTTGTTAGATTTACTAATCTCAAAACATGTCACTTGCTTGTAGGAAGGGATTTTCTTTGGAGATGAGTTTATGACTTCTTATACAGTCAGAATTAAGATTAATGTTCCCTATTAGCATATAGCTTTTCATTTCCTGGTACAGAATATTACAAATGGTAAAATCTGTCCTCTTGCCGAGTGTCTACTGACTCAGTCCAGCAGCTCGCTAGGACCCTCACAACTGTTACCCCAGCTGGTCACTCGATCCAGTCCAGCATGCCTGTCTGCTGGCCTTTTGTCTGTGCTGTGTGGAGCCATCAGTCTGTCTTGCCTGCTTGCCTAGCGGGCCTTCTAGAGGTTGTCCTGAGAATTTTCCTATCTCAGGGCTGTACTTTCTGTTTCTGGGCTCCTGGTGGTTGACTGTTGGTCTCTAATGAGGCAGTGGGAAGGGCTTGAGATCTGTCATTGGAAAATTCAGTTCTGCTCATTATTGTTTTGTGACCTTGACCAAGATAGTACTCTGAGCCTCAGTTGTATCATCTTATAAATGGAAATCAGTAATGCCCATTTCATAGAGTTACTATGAAGATTGTTGGTGAAAAGCACTTTGCAAATGTCAAAGGATTAAACGAACGTTGGTTGTTATTGATACTAATGATTACGATCATAAATCTTACTCTCTTCTTTGTGGTATAGCCTTTTGAAGAATGCAAAGACACATTCCAACCCAGTGGTTTCTGACAGAAGGGAGAAGATACGCATTAAATGGCTAGACATCAAGAACACATGGGTCTGGCTTAATGAGATGCTGGAGAAGGTTGTTAAATTCAAATGCATGTTTTCAGGATTGTTGAATACAGAAAATGGATTGTTGCTTGTTTGGTGAACATCAAACATTTCCCAGAAAGAGGGCACCATCTTGTGGTCAACAGGATGAACTGACAGGGAAAAAAAATTTAGTGGTTCTCAATGCTGCACATCCTAGGCCTAGGTCCACCTCCAAGATCAGGTAAGGTGAGTCATATGTGGGCCCCAGCATCCGCACTTGTTAATGTTCCTCATAGGATTCTAAGGTGCAGCAGGGTTGATCACCACCAATCAGGCAGGCTGTGGAGCTCTTGCCTGTGACTACGCAGCCAATATGCACAGAGAGCCCTGCCTGCAGCTGGGTCCTGACTCTGGGCCCCTGATGCAGAGACCACGGCACTTTCCAGGGAGCAGAGGCTGTTGCTATGGTTCCTGGAACCCAGGTCATCAGCACACTGGCACACACAAAGGTACCTCCCAGTGCCCACCCGTCTCCTCCCTAGAGACCTAGGCTCCTCTGCCTTTCTTCTCCACCCACACTAACAATGTCAAAATAGCTAACCATGCAGCACTTCCTAGCTTACGAAGCACTTTAGGAAGCCAAGGTGGGAGGATCATTTGCTCCGACCATATCTGTCATCTACAGCAATTCTGCAAGGGAGATGTGATTATCTTACTACCCATAAGGAAACCAGGTGCTCAGAGGGTAAGTGTTTCACAAGCACGTCGAGTAAGCACACGTCTTCTGGATCCCAACCCTGTGCTCTGCAGCCCTCCTGGTGGTAGTAGTAGTATTTGTAGTCCCCATTTTGAAGCCATCATGGGCCTTGAGGCTGGAATAGGAAAGATGTGGGTGTAGGGGCACACACAAGGGTGTTGTTTTGTACTGCCCCATATGTTGATGGCAAAGAACTGGAATCACAGTGGTTGACAAACTTTGAAATATTTAATCTTCGCAATAATTCTGGGAAAGGAGATATTATTCCTAGAGAACGGGTTAGAGCTTGAAGAAGATAAGGAATTCCATTGTGGCTATCAAACATTTCAGTCTCAGGACTCTTTCTCTCTCTCTCTCTCTCTTTTTTTTTTTTTTTTTTTTTTTTTTGACAGTGTCTTGTTCTGTCACCCAGGCTGGAGTGCAGTGGCACAATCATGGTTCACTGCAGCCTTGACCTCCGAGGCTCAAGTGATCCTCCCACCTCAGCCTCGCAAGTAGCTGGGACTACAAGTGTGCACCACCATGCTCAGCTAAATTTTTAAATGTTTAAAAAAATACAGATGGGCCCTGGCAATGTTGCCAGGGCTGGTCTTGAACTCCTGGGCTCAAGTGATTCTCCTGCCTCAGCTTCCCAAAGTGTTGGAATTATAAGCATGAGCCATCACGTCTGGCCCACTATCCACTTTTAAAATGCTTGCAGACCCCAGAGAGCTTTTATGCAGGTAGAATATATAATCACCATTCAGTATTAAAAAATCAGAGAAATTATTAGATATTTAATTCATTTTAAAATATCAATAAGCACATGAAATATTACCTAAATAGTATTATGAAAAGTAACAGCATTTTCTAAAACAAAAAACAAGTTAGTGAGAAAAGTGGCTTTGTTTTAATTTTTGCCAATGTCTGATTTAGTAAAATGCAGGCAGATTCTCATACCTGCCTCTGCATTCAATCTGTTGGAATATCACACACCATGTAGTACCTGAAAAAATCAACTGTATACTTGTGGGAGAATGAGCATGAGAAAGGTAAATAATGTCTTAGTGGTTTTATGGAAAATGACTTTGACTTCATGGACTCATTAAGAGTCACAGGTCCCTCGGGGGCCCCTGGACCACACTTGGACAAGGCTGAGTTTATTGCTAACGAGATGAAGGATTCCCATTCGCCCACTGGAGCCCACTGGTGAGAGCTGGTATTGGCAACTGGAGTGAAGAGGGGGTGCTAAGCATGGGCAGTGTGAGGCCAAGCTGGATGGGAAATTGAATATAGGAGAAGATGGTAGCCAGTATACCCATTGAGACCCCCTAGCCACTGAGCAGAGGCCTTGCTTCATCCTTGTTGCTGCCTGCTGCTCTGAGCCCTAAGCACTTTGCCAGCCCAGCCTCGACCTTGCAACTCTCTTCTCCAGCTTCTCCTCCTGCCTCTCACCTCTTCCTTCTCTGAAACCTTCTGGTTCCTTTTCCTTTTCTCACCATCTAAGTTGCTTATTGGATCTACATAAAAATGGTAATTATAAAAAACAACACCCAATAGTATACAAAGTACTTTCACACATAACATCTTCTTCACACTCTTTTCTTGATGTCCATAGCAACAAATACCAGCTGTGATGCCAATTATTCTCAAGTGTGTCTT